AAAAAAAAAGTTTTGATGCGTCGACATGCCGATGCGGTTTGTTTGTAATGGTACATGCTTGCCATATACTATCACTACGAACTTAATCAGTTGCTCCATTTCTAGTCAACCGTTCGCACATAATCGGTGCCCGAAAACGATCTGCACTCCATTATACTACGATGAGTACGGAAATGAATATACCGGTGGAGAACATATACTTCATAAGAGTACAAAAAATGAAGTATGAGTGTAAAAGAGCACGCAACGTGATCAACGCAATCAAACAAATTTAACACTGTAGAGATCATGTTATTGAAGACCACTCTATTCAAGCCCGTCAAGATTAAAAGTTCCTATGGGATCGAAATACGATCACAGCATTATGTTTATGTGACTCCTCTTTCATTTTCGACAATGATCAAATTAAATCAGAAGTCAAAGTTACTGATCGACTTGGAACTTGACTAACTAGAAAATTAGCCGGTTCAATATAAAAGTTCAATCTTTTCACTACATTCAAAGAAATGCGAAAACCTGCAATATTACATTATTAAACTACTGAATTTGAGTTCAAACTTTCGCAATTCATCAGGTATATCTTAATGAGAGTAAGACAAATTGCGCGATGGATGATCCATTATACAAAGAAATCAGAATATAATCACGCTTTAGAAGCACTCCGAATTACTATCTTTATTCCTTTCTAGCCTATATACCGTTATATTACACAGAGAATCTAGCCAGTGAATGCTGGAATATTCTCTCGACTTTTCAATTCTTCTACAATTTCACGTGCTCTGTCAATGTATTTTTTCGCTTGATCCATGTTCTGCTCAATGCCGTCACCAAGTTTGTACATCCTAAATTGCTGTACGATGCAAAGACAGCAGTTTCTGAAACGAATATGACTTACCGAGCTACGTTGGCGCAGCTCTGAGGAACATCTAATTCGCATGCTTTGATGCCATACTTCAATGCTTTGTACATGTCCCGATCAAGAGAGCCTAGCGATGTTCGATCGACTTCCTGATTTCCTTCTATATTCAGAGAGGTAGCTTTTACACGGAAGATACATGGAAAAAATCAATATTTTATGATCTTGTGATTAGCAAGACTGAGAAGGCAAAAAAGAAGCATAATAAATTCGTTAGTATACAAATAACGATCTACCTTAACCTCACCCGTGGGTCCAGTACGAAACCTTTCTTTATTACCCATGTACCATGTGCTAAGTAACCAGCAGGCTTCACCATCTTCTAATTCACAAGCTCTAAATACTTTCTCAGCAGAGTATAAGAAGATGAGAT